ATTTTATGATAAGTCCCTCAAAAACGTTTTGCGAAACTGAATTGGAATGCAGCTCTAGTGTAAAGTATGTTTGGATCAATGTACAATTGTAAGCGGTTTTATCTTCGAAAATTTTTGAAGTACCATTACGACACAAAAAACTAATCGATTTCGGAATTAACTTCATTTTTTAATTTTATTTTCCTTTCCGTATTTCCTTTATTAGTTTATTTGGTAATATTTTTCGGTAATCTTTAGAGTAGTTTTTAATCAGCAGCATGATAAACTGTGTAATGTTGCTACAATTAAATTTCTTAATGTGGTTGAGCACACTTTTGCAACAAAAATGTTGGTGCTTATCTGCAAAAAGAAACTTAACTGTCCGCAATGCATTGAAAATTATTTTTTATTTTCAAATCACAAGAATATGTTTGTAACTAGTAAATATTACAAATATTTTACTGTTTTTGTAACGTAATATCTTTTGCCAGAGTAGTGAGACGTTTTCAGTCCGAGCAATGGAAAATACCTCGAAGAAACAAGAATCGACCCACTGCGACTTGTCGCCATTCCATAAAAGATGAAATCTGCTCCCTCTGCCTAAAATGAGTAGGGAGCTTCTCCACGAAGCATTAGGCGGAGTGGCCCTGAGTTCAAATCACCCCTCAGAACCACAAGCGATGAGAACTTTTTTCTTTTCGCAGCCCTGTGTTTATCATTAAGTCATTGGCATGATGAAAATACAAGCATAGCTCACGCAGTATGCTTCTTAACTTATAGGAAGGAAATATCACTTGCTTTCGTGCTAACAAGCTCATAGACACCTCAATACTGACACACCACAATGCCATATTAACTGGCCTGAACATGTCAAAATATGAATAAACTTGCACAGTATTGCATGTTAGTGTTTCTGCATGATATTACATATAATTGCTTTATAATACAGCTAGAATAAAATCGCTACATATAAGGTAAAGATTCTATGAGAGGTCACATAGAATGTTAAATTAAATTTTAAACAGTGGCACCAAAAATAATGTACTTGGTGGAAAAAATCTGAATACACTTCGGAATTCAGTGTGGAAAAATGCACTAGATTCACTAATCAGATTTCTTGTGAAGAAAACCTTGTCGACCAATGTAATCACTAATCAGTATGGCTTCAGGACGGTGCAAGAACCACAGTGGATATAATTACTGTCATCATCGCAAACAAGGTTATCGAGGGCAAACGATGAGGCGCGAAGGATTGCGCTATTGTTACCCTCGGCGTCAGGAACGCATTTAATACGGCAAGGTGGGGCTCAGTACTTGCCGCGTTTAAAAACTGGGAGTTCCGAATTACATAATGAAGTCAGAAGCTACTTTGAGAAACTGACTTCACTACAAACCGGAGTAAAGACCTATGGCATCTCGGTAGGTGTTCCGCAAGGCTCGGTATTTGGCGCGCGGTTGTGGAGTATTATGTATGACGTTTTGAAGTTCGGCTGCCGGAAGGTGCTAGGGCTATTGGATTTGCTGATGTTGCAGTGGTAGTGGTCGGTAAATAACCTGAAGAGATCACGCAGGTTGCCAACGAGGCTGTGGCTGCGATCCGGCGGTGGGGCTACTTATGTGACCGATCATGAAACAGGCTTAGTGACAAGTAGAAAAGAGAAAGAGTATATTACTCTATGTAAGGGGTAGTAAAATAGCCTCCAAGCAGTTTCCAAGATATTTAATATTACAGATTGACGCGAGAGTGCACTTCGACGAGCAAGTGCGTATAATCTGTGTGAAATTGTCTCGCGTAGCCCCCACCTAGGCACGAATTTTACCTAACGTTGGGGATCCAAGGCAAAGTAACCGGAGGTTAGTGTCTAGGGCGGTTAACTCTGTGCTGCTCTACGCAGCCTCCATTTGGGCTGACGCGTTTGGGATCCAGTCGTACGCCCGCGGTGCGAAGTCAGTGTGTAGAAGGCCCGCCTTGAGGGTGGCCCAAGCGTTTCGCAGGGTTTCACAATGTGTGTGTGTGTGTGTGTGTGTTGTAGCCGACATGCCCCCTATAGACTTCGTGGCACAAGAAAGAGCCAGGCTCTACAGACGCAAGAAATAGGAGCGTCATCGTGAAGGAAGAGAGAGAGGTGATAATGGCAGTGGCAACGGCGATGGGTTCTATCATCCACTGGTAGGTGGACATTTCGTCTTATTCCTGACGTAACAAAGGAAATGTGGATCGTTATTTGACAGTTGTAAACGCGGCAAGACTGCTTCCGTGTATACCAACTCCTTTTTCGGTTGGAGGATGACTCGTCATGCTTAACCTGTGACCCATTGGTTGAAGATGTGGAGCGCGCGCGGTGTGTGTGTGTGTGTGTGTGTGGGGGGTGTGGGGGTGGGTGTGTGTGGGTGTG